GTGTCGCTCCGGGTGTGGGGCCTTCCCCGGCACCTCCTCTTCTCAGGCTGGCTGCGGCTGAGAAGCAGATGGCTCTGGGATCCCTCCTGCCTTTGCTTCCCTCTGATCCCCTTGGGTCTCGTTCTTGGGCTCAGATCTTGGCAGCTCCCCACCTCCTGAGGACTACCTCCTTCACCTCAGCCATGGAAGTTGGTCTTCATTTAATAAGTCTTTTTTGCACACACAGAAAGAGTTGTGCAGACACCACTCTGGGCAAGGCTGTTCCTGAGGGTCTGTGGGCTGCAGACCAGATGCAGTAGGTGGGCAGTCACAGCGCCTGAGTGCTGCACAGGGCTGTGCCCTCTTGGAATACACAACATCCGGCAGCAGGTAGCCCAGGGCAAAGGGAGGGACTCCCTGAAGAAGTGTGAGTTCACCTGGAATTTGAGGATGGCATAAATTAGTGGGATGAAGTGCAGGGTGAGAGCGTTCTGAGCTGTGAGGGCCGCAAGAGTGACAGCCTTGAGGTCAGAGAAGGGTGTGTGCAGAGTGGAGCGGGCAGTGGTGTGGCACTTCAGATGGCAGGCATAGCAGGATTTTATGATACAAGGAAGAGGGCAGGGTCAACAAAGATCAGCTGGTTTCTGGTTCCAGCATCTGTGGGAGGACGCCATCATCGCCTGAGATGAGATGTGAAGGTGACCTGGGGTGGCGGTGCTCGCCAGCCTCAGAGCCCTGGGCCATGATGCCCCGGCCAGTGTGTCCACCTGGGCGGGTGAGCCCAGGAGGTGGGCACAGCAGAGTGGTCCTGAGGAGTTTCCAAACCATCTTCATTTGATTGCTGAGCTCTCCGAGTGAGATGTGGAGGCCTTTGCCCTGGGGGTGAGGGTGTTCATCAGTAGGACCCTTCACATAACCCCTCTGAAAGGTCAACATTAGATTTATGTATTTCTTTCTGGCTTTAAGAGTGGTAATCTGTTCATGGTAGAAAATTTAGAAAATCTAGAAAATGAAATTAAAAAAACAAAAATTGGATTCCCTGGGCATCCAGGAACAACCAGTGCTAGCATTTTGTCATCCTTGCCACCAGGCTCATTCCCCAAATTGTCATCATGCTGTGTAGAGAATTTTAAATCCTAATTTTTTTTTTTTTGCAGTTTTTGGCTGGGGCTGGGTTTGAACCTGCCACCTCTGGCCTATCAGGCTGGTGCCCTGCTCCTTGGAGCCACAGGCACCACCCTCTAAATCCTGATTTTTGTCACCTACCTTTATATTGTGTGTTTCTTTCCCACGGCCAGTTATAAATTCTTTTTTTTTTTTTTTTAAATTGCTTGCAGTGTGCATTTTCTAGACATTAATGCTGTTTCCTTTTGTTCTGTCATAATCTTAATATTAGATGGAGGACAGGACAGCCAGTTAGGTTAGAATTTCTGACAATCAATGAATAATGTTTTTGCTTAAGTATATCCCAAACATTACATGGAATACTTGTACTAATAATATCCATGCTAAATAAACATGCTTGTGCTGAATATGAATCAGTGATGAAAAGGAGAGAAATTCTGACACTTGCTACAGTGGGGATCAACCTGGAGGACGCTGTCCTGAGTGAAACCAGCCAGTCACAAGGATGATAATATGATACCGTATGATCACACTGACAAAAGGTACCTGGAGTTGTTAAGTTCCTAGGGACAGAAAGCAGAAGGATGGCTGCCAGGGGCTGGGGGACAGGGAGGGAAATGGGAAGATATTGTTTAATGGGTTCAGAGTTTTAGTGTGGTGAGGTGAAAGGGTTTTTGTGGGTGGATGATGTGGTGTAAGCACTGCAGTGTGGTGATACTTAAAGCCACTGGACTGTCCATGTAAACAGTTTGATGTTATGTTAA